AGTCAACTTCCCAGTGGATCTGCAAGACAGTGCTTTGGCGGAGTTGGAGAAGGAAGCCGAGGAGACTGGTTTGGGAGAATTGTCGCTGGAAGCAGTGTTGCAGCTGCAGGGGAGGATCCTCTCCAAAAGATCTTGCTGGCTCAGTCGCAGCAAAACTCTGTTCTGTTGAAGAAGCTGGTGGGACCCAAACATTCGGATCCCCTGGTTGGGTTGCTCAGCGGCCAAAGCGATGGGGCCAGCGGAAGCGGCTCCAATTTAGGCGTCAAGGGCTGCCTTGCCCGCGACGCTTTTGTCCGGGCCTCCCAAGATCTGGCTTTGATTGCAACAACAGTGAGGCGGAATGCCTTGACGGAGTTGGGCTATCCACCTCATCGGGAAGACGGAAACCTGATGAGGAAATACATGGAGCGTCGCATGCCTCTTTCCGAGCACAAGACCTTAGCATATCTGGCGATGATGGTTTCGGAGGCTTGGCAGACCGCCTTTGCCTCTCAGAACATAGAGCTGATGGGTGTCCTAGGGAAGATCATGATTTTTCTGGAACAAGCTGCGATCGATAGTGGCAAACTCCAGTTAGCATGGCTGCTGACAGGGCGCCAGGAGCCAGCTTGGCAGATTCTAGTGAGTCATCGCCGACATCCCGGTCTGCAACCCTTCAGTCGCCTTGCGGCGCCCACATGGGTATCAGCAAATTTAGCTTACCTGAAGGAATTAGACTTCATGGAAAGTCGAATGCAGTCAGTATCCAAAGCCAGTCAAGTAGACAGAGCCGAGAAGGAGACAGAGGCCCGTGCCAAGCCCAAAGCGAAAAGCAAGAAGGGGTTTAGCAAGGGGAAGCGAACCGAAGTGACCACAGAAGCCGAAGCCGAAAGCTGAAGCGTGATTCAGGCGGGGGTGCAGTTTTTCCGTCCGATGAGGGTTTCCCTTGGGATAGATTGAATAGGAATAATCCTGATAACGTTTCCATGCCTGATCTCAGTACTTCATCGGCCCGAGTTTTTAACGGTGTTCAATTAGTGCAAACCCTATGCAAAAGTTTTTGGTTCTGCCGTTCAGCTCTAACTTCTTTTGTTGCAGCATCCCTTGCTGTTTATGATGCCTGTAATGTGGAAGAGACCCGGCACGGGTCTCTATGATGGCCCATCCCCCCCCCTAGGTGGAGATGGATGGATTGCAAGCACCTCGGACCGCGTAGACGTCGTAGGCTGAAATATCATAGGGCAAAGCGCGACCTTCTTTTGATTGTTGTGAATGCCTTGAATTTCGAAGTGTTGGGATTTCCAAAGATCCCTCCACCTTGTGCCCGCGTCGGTGCACCAATTTCTGCAGCTCAAGCCGAAGTGCTGGAGCATCTGGAAGTACAGATTGACCACTTCATGCACATGGATCCATGGGCCGCAGATAGCTTAGGTCGTGCGCAAGCCAAGTTCGAGTTGTTAATTCAAAGTGCCGAGGAACTTCCCAACTGTTCAGGCCGGTTAGAGGACCTCACCGAATTCCTTTCAGGTTTGCATAGTTGTTTCGATCCGTATTCATCACATTTCTCTAGCCATGTTTTCACTGAAGTCAAAAGACCAGAGCCTGCGGACCATACTTGCACAGCTGCTGGCCAGACGCTGGCTACAGATGTTGCTAGCGCCAGCGCCCTGCCAGTGATTCCTGATCGTGTCAAGTGGGAAAACCCGCCGTCTTTTGCAGCTCGAGATTTTCTCGACGACCCATTGTTGAAAGCGTTTGATGACCCAGAGACATTACGAAAACCTGTTGATTTGTGGGAAAGGGTTCCATCTGGTAAGATGCATTGTAGCCGGGATGAATTCCTAAAACTTGCAGCCCGGTGGGATGAGTTAGGGGCATGTTGTTTGCTTCCCTCGGCCGCCAAAGATATGAGTGAAGCCACCGGTATTTTTTGTGCGCCTAAGGATTGCAATTTTGACCGACTTGTCACAAACCCCCGCACTATAAATAGCAGGATGTATAGCATATCTCGATCCACCAAAGAGCTTGCTCCTGGTTGTCTCTTGGGTCTATTGCATTTGAAGGACCATGAGATGTTCCGATTCAATGCTGATGACCTAACTGATTTCTATTACACCTTTGTGGTCAGCCCCCAACGTGCCTCACGAAACGCTTTTCAATTTGTGTTTAGGGGCAGTGAGCTTTCCCATTTTCGGTGTTTTAGGCCTGAGCTGCGAGATCAAGAGGTGCTAGTTTGTTTGCAGACGCTCGCTATGGGGGATAGCCTCGCAGTCGAAATAGCTCGACAAGCTCATTGTAATGTCTTAAGATTTCTGTGCGGCTCCATGATCCCTTGTGAATCTTTGCGGTACCGCCACCCGGTGCCTCGTGGCGATTTTGTGGAACTTTTAGCGATAGACGATCACGTACAGATCCAAAAACTTGCTATCAGTGATTTCCCCAATAAGCCTTTGCTTCGTGATTCTCAAGTGTTCAAATCCGCTGAGACCGCTTACAAGAAAGTTGGTTTGGTTCAACATCAGAAAAAGCGGAAAAGGAATCAGACTCAAGGTGTCATTTTAGGGGTGATTTTGATGGTAAAGCGGGTAGAGTAATGGCTCCAAGGAATCGGGTTGCTACGCGTTGTTTGGTCACCCCTGCTATAGTCCGGAAAGGGACATGTACCCCAAAGCTACTTTCCATCCTTTTGGGTTGCTGGATTCATGTTTTGATGTTTCGACGCGCAATGTTTGCCATCTTGAACCATGTCTTTCGAGAATCCCAAAACCGCAAACCCCAAGAGTTGTTTTGTTTGTCTCGTGAAAGCCGGTCCGAACTTCAGATGATTGCCACACTAGGATGTTTGGCACAAAGCGACTTGCGAGCAGGCTATGTTGACAAAATTTCAGCACAGATGCATCTCCTTTTGGCGGTTCGGTCATTTCCGCAAAAACCAGCAAAGAAATGACCGCTGAGTTGTGGCGCCATACAGAACAAAGAGGGTTTTACACTCGTTTGCTGAGCCCTACTGCAGACATCCTCCATGAAAAGGGTTTGGAGACACATGATGATCAAGATGTTCCCTCCACCATCCTTCCAGGACCTCAACTTGACCCTTTCCCAGTTTTAGGTGTTCCACCTCCTCTCAGCGAGGGCATCCTGTATGACTGTGTTGAAATTTTCAAGGGTTCTGGGGGGTGGTCACAAGCCCATGCAGACTTAGGTTTAAAAGTGCATAGTGGTTTCGACTCTTGTAAAGGCAGCCTTAGGATCAGTGATTTGGCTAGTGCCGCAACATGCCATGAGCTGCTCGCACTGGCTGTTCGAAGAGTTGTGCGAATGTGGCACGCTGGCGTGTCTTGTCTTTCTTTTGGAACATTCAGATATCCTCACCTTCGATCCAAATCATTCGCTGCAGGGTTTAATCCGGATGAGCCCACCGTATCATAACATGTTGGCCCGACGCACTGCATTTATTTTGTCTGTAGCTATGGGAGCCGGCCAATTCATCAGTGTTGAACAGACTGGTAGCTCTCGATTGTTTCTTTTTAAATTGTTTCAAGCAGCTGGTCAGCCGAGGATGTGTGATTAGTCACTTTTGTTTTTGTAGCTATGGTAGTGCTTTAAAGAAGCCATCTAAGTGGCTGCATAATCAACCTTGGTTAGTACCTCTTGAGACAAAGTGCACATGCCCTTATAAGAACAATCATTTTGTTGCCCAGGGAAATTTCACTAGCCAAAGCATGTCCGATTTTGATGCACGATGTCGCCCCAATGCGATATCCGTGTACGGTCGACTGCCTGAGGTTGGAGAATCCGTGGCCAGCTATTCCGCTGCTTACCCATTCGAGCTAGTCACCCGCATGGCCAGTGGTGCCGTCTCTGCTTTTCGTAGTCAGGCACCGGCCTTGCCTTTAGAGACTTGGAAGCGATCGCTTAATGAAGTTGGGGTTGATTTTCCTTTAGTAAGTTTTGCAGAAACTGAGCATGCTTTGTATCCTCCGAGACCATGGCATGAGGGTCCTGAGTGGATTAGCGAAATTTGCAACAGTTTGAAATTTACTGAAGTATTTCGATACAAGTTCCAACGCAGTGGGCATATCAATGTCAATGAGGCTAGGGTGTATAAGTCATGGATAAAAGCTATGGCAAAAAGCCATCCCCGAAGTCGGTTTGTAGGGTTGCTTGATAGCAGGGTTACCATTGGCGCCACTGCCAAGGGAAGATCCAGCAGCTATGCCATTAGTCGAATTTTGCAGGGCTCTCTCGCCTATATTTTGGGCTCGGGGCTGTACCCAGGATGTTTGCATTGTGCCTCTGGTGACAACAGAAGTGATGGCCCTTCTAGTGAGCCCGCTAGTCGGGCCATTCCAGCTTGGCTAAAGGAGTTGATTGATGGAGATCCTGGCAAATTCGACAAAGTTGTCCAGTCAAGTAAGATCAGTCGTAATCCTGCAAGATGGCTGCGCTTTCTGTTGATGCTTTGCGGTGATATTCATCCTCACCCAGGTCCTCGTGCTCGCAGGGGGCCGATGGATCTTAGTGTGGGTTTTGTGAAGGAGACTTCTTCACGCATGCAGAGGTGCGTGGATGCTTTTCAACTTTGGTGCACCGAGTGGTTGCGAATAATTTTTTCATCTTTGCTTCAGGATATGTCCTTGATGGCTCAGAGCTTATGGTTTGTATTGTTTCGAGGAAGGTTTGCCTCGGTATCTTTTTGTTTACACTTTGACTGGCGTGCAAGAGTTTTATCCTTCAATCCGATCACATCTCGGAATTGCCTGGCAAATAGACAAAAAGTGGCAGATTCATGAACCCGGACAGTGCAGATCAGTGCTTCCTGCAATGGCTGTCAAGGCCGCTTTGTGCTTGGCAGCTCTTTGGCAATGGCGTGAGTGGCTTGGGGTGGTTATGTTGGGATTTGCAGCTATGCTGCACCCTTCAGAGATGTTGGCCCTGAAGCGAAGTGACTTTTTTTTTCCCAAAGACTTGGGTTATGAAGCTGCAGGAATGTTCATTCACATTGCCGACCCTAAGACTGCGAGATTCTCGAGACGCCAGCATGGGCGCATTGATGACAGTGACATTATTTGGATTGCTGAACGTTTGTTTGGTGAGCTCCCTTTAACTGCAAAGCTATATCCTTTTTCTGCCTCGACATTAGGAAACAATGGGATGCTGTGATGAGCCGCTTGGGCATTCCTCATCGTCAGACAGATCGGGGTGCAACTCCAGGGGTGCTGCGAGGCTCTGATGCGACTTTTCTTTATAGCACTTCTGAAGATGTTTCTTGGGTGGCATGGCGAGGTAGATGGAGTCGTGTGAGAACTTTAGAGTATTATTTGCAGGAGGTTGGAGCTCAGCTGTTAGTCCACAGTCTAGATCCTGTATCAAAAAAAGATGATTGAAGAGTTTGCAACTTTTGCTTGGCCCGTGATTCGTTCCTTGTGTCTTACAGAGTAGCCAAGTGGAATTGATCTGGCAATGTGTGTTGTCTTCTTAGCTGAGACTGTAGAGATGGCCACAGTCAGTCGTTCGAACTCCATGGTGTCTTTCTTGTGACTGGCCTAACATGGGCCTTGAAAAACGGGGCAGCTTCGAGAAAGCAGGCAAAACAGTGAGATATATATATATATATGTATTTTTTTTTACAAACTTGTGCATAGGCTCATCTAGCTTGAGCCGGGTGTCTTCCAAATGGCCAGTGGGTGTTTGATTTGGAATAGTACATTGTAGTCAAGTTTGTTGCTGGGTCTGTCCATACCATGCAACACGGCCATGTGGCTGGTTTTGTTGTTTTTGGGAGCAAAGAACTCCAAGAATGAGGCAACATTCACATGCACTTGACACTTCCAAAGCTTATATACAGTCATTGAACTTCAAGATTTTTTATTCCTGTGTAGTTGCAGCCATGCCGGCGTGGAGACATGATGATGATGATGGTGATGATGATGAACTTGGTGCCATGATTATGGTTTCAAAACGCTTTGAATGTGCTGCCAGGTGATGCGTGCAAGTGCTGATAATTTGCAAGTTGCAGCTAGTGCTTCGAGTCTGTCGAAGAATCTGCCGGCTTTTGCTTTGGAGCTTAACGGACGAGTAGGAAAGTTGTACACCCACTTGCTAGATGAGCCTGCAGCCTGAATTTATCTATTTAAAGTCGCTATAGAGATCATTTCATCCTTCGGTGTCTTTTTGAAAAGATCGATATACAGGACCTTCCGGTTGGGGTCTACTCTACATTTGCAGCTTTCGTTGCTTTCAGCGCACGCTTCCACACCGGTTGGCCACATGTCGGTCCGATGTCGCCCATGTCTCGCCAGGTGGTTGGGGAGGCCAGTGCATCGGAGATTCGGTGGCCGGAAGCCAACTCCAGTCCAACTGCATATATCATGTATGGGATATATTGTTAAAGAAAGGTTGTTGGAAAGCGCTCAACGGCAAAGTAGGCTGCACACGGTAAGATGAACCATGATGAAAGTCATCTGTGGCGGATTTTTCATATACAGAGATCAGATAGATACGTTCACAACGTATGGTACTGGCAATATGTTGAAACAGTCAGTTGGTTTTCGGTAAGACTCTTACGAGGTTGTTCTTCGCCTTACGCGTTTTGAACGCAGGCAGCCTTTCGGAAATCTCTTGGGAACTCGTGTCGGTCTTTCGACTCTGACCCCCCCAAGAGGATCTGTTGGAACTCCCATGGTGGGGCATATGTCGTGTGTCGAATACGACGGGAACTGGGAGTAGGAGCACTCAATGACCATTCCCCACAGCTTGGAGACTGATTGAGACCAAAACTATGCACGCCCACGAACCGGGTCGGTGATCAAGAGTTCGGAACAGCCGGACTCACCCACGCAGCAGCGATGGGGTGGAGACCCAGTCGAGTGGAGTTGGGAAAGTAGATGAGCAATGATGAACACTTTTGGTGTGACCTAGTTACCATCATATCATTTTCACCCATTTGTGTGCGAACACATGAATCAAACGATTGCCCAAAAAGACGAAACTGTTTGAGATCCAAGTGCCAGGAAAGGGAGACAAAGGTGAGAAAGGGGATGACGGCTGGGGTCGAGGACGAGGCCCCGACCTCGTGCATGTGGGAATGGACCCGGAGGTGTGAAGGACCCAAAGGACCAGCTGCTAGCAAACATTTCAACAGATTTCAACTCAGGACTCATGATTTTAGAGGGGTTTTGGGTTTTGACAGAGTTTTGACCTTAAGATGTCATAGCTGAGCTGCCTGTGACTGGGTGAATGACTATGCCAGGTGGACCCGTCCTGTGGAAGCGGCTAGACCTTGACGAAGACCCACCCGTCCACCCCTTCCGCCCGCACAAGTCCCGAGGGGTGCCGCCCACGAGAGCCAATTTGGATCACAAATCAAGGCTCTCATGAAGATAGAGGATGTGACAAGACCATCCATCGACACATCCATTGATCTATAGTTACCATTCGGCCATTTTTGTTTGTGCCCAGACTCAGTCACTGTTTCTCAACTTGCCACAGCCATATGCCTGACCTTTCGCTCCAAGCTCTCCAGGCCGAGGAGGTGGTCGAGGCCCACATGGCGAGGGAGAGACGCAGCACGTGGATCATGACTTGTGACGGGGTTTTGACTTGGAAGGCGTTCAAGTCAGGATGGAAAAAAAGAACTCTTTGGTGTTACATATGTTGCTACACAGTTACATATGTTGTTACATGTTCCCATTATTTACCATTTCTTTAACGCAGTGTGGTCGCGATTTCAAGATGTCAAGACTCGACATGGCCCACTCCTTTGGGCCATGTGACATCGGACTTCGGACATTGTTCGGACTCACAGGGAGTTCTTCTTCACCACAAGGAAAAAGCCAAACAACAAAGCATCTTAAGAAGGAACCACACATCACGAATCGATGTGTCTTCTTATTTTTTCTTTTTCATCGCTTTTACATTTGATCTGCGTGGGTCTCGATGGATCCTGCCTGCCACCGATCCTATTGGCTCCAGCGTTGAAAGGCGTAACGAGACGCGTAAGCCTTGACGACGCGTGACGAGACGCCACAAGGATGGCGACACAGGCACAGTTTGATCCGCAACCCTATTGCATCCCCGGCGAGATCACCGTTCATGAGGCGCCGGGTGTGTGTGTGTGTTGGTTGTGTGTGTGTGTTTTTACAAACACACACTGCAAGGGATAGTTGTGATTATATAGTTATGTATTTTTTGAATGCATGGATAATGAGGTGGGGGAGGTGTTGGATTCATCGTCCCTCTCCAAGTTGGGAACGTCGTCGACCGTTGCGTAGCCGCGAGTCGTAGTCATGATGGTGGCGCCTGTCAGACGAGAAATGTGGGCCGTAGCACTTTCAAATGAACCGTAGATGAATTGATAGATCTGCTAGGTTTCTTGTGAAATGATTTAGTTTTTGTGACAGGCCTTATGTTACTATGCTAAAGTTATATGAACCTTTTTTGGGAGTCCCCGAGTGACCTTTATCCAGGCCCAAGTGACCTCAAACCAGGGGATCAAAATATCACTTTGAAGAACCAAGGGTTAGTTTACATGCGTTCTACTATCTACGCCCTACTTCCTACTGAAGCGCAGGCCAAGTGCCGAACCTTCCTACAGAAGGACGCACTTGACATCCACGGAACATCCACTCGAAGGACGTCCGAGCCACCTGATCTCAGGTGCTTGATATGAAGAGGGCCTTCGACATGATTGATGAGGACCCCGTCTCGACTCGGAGCGCCCGTCTAGACGGGTGGAAGAGCAGGCCAAGGCGGTCGTGAGTCTGAGTCTGAGTCTGAAGGTCGAAACGAAGGGGTTCCCCACCGGTTTTGAGCCATCCAAAGTAGTTAATTGTCCAAGCGTGCCAGCCACAGCTTTTCAGTGGGATCCCTTGTTCAACTGTTTTCGATGAATTAGCAGATGTCCCTCAGATGCTTTCTCAGCTAAGCCATGGCTTCTTTAGCTTCAGGTCGCCGTTTTTTGCTGCAGCCAGGGGGTGAAATCAAGATGACCAGTCACTTCCACTCTCCAGCCCTTTGACCGGTGATCAAAGTCACACACACCCAAACACTCATGGCACTAAGAATTACTTACCGTTATCTCACTATCTTACATTGAGCCTTGAAACCATCCCAATGTAGGTAAATATGCCATGCATAGAGTATTTGGGCTAGGACTATCCATGAGGGTTTGCTCCAACGTTACGCTCGATCGGACGTGGGAAAGCACCATCTACTGGATTCCACCAGTGTTCCGGTCTTTCAACTTCCATGGAATGCAAAACCATGAGGCTTTGATGCCGCTTTGCTGTCAAAGACTTTTGACCCCGAAAGCCTGGGGAGAAAGGGGGCGAGACCATTTCTCCGCTTGTGCGTCGACCGCATGGAAAAGGTTCCTCTTCCTTCATGACTGTACCATCCTTCTTCAACATCGAGCCCAAGCCATCCGAGATCTCGACGGTCCCTCGACGGTCCGTACTGAGCCAGATGGCTTCGGATGGCTAGAAAGCTCACTGAAAGGAGACCGGATCTCGTTGAGCTCGTGAAGATCGGACAGACGCTGGCAGGACAACAGTGGTGTCATCGATGCGGAGGAGTTGCAGGGTGCTGCGGTGGCCCTTGGTATCCCCATGGAGGCCGAAGACGGACGTGGAAGACGGGATGACCATCGTGGAAGACGCAACGGGTGGTCGGAATGACCATCGTGTAGTTGACCAGCTTAGCATGATCTTGGGGTGTCTTTAGTTGGCAGGATATAGGTGCAAGTGTGGGAATCATGACGACCCAGGACCCAGAGCTGAATTATTTGAAGGCTTCCAGGCTTGAGAGCTCTTACTGTCTGGATGACAGATTCTTTCTGTCCGAATGTCGCACACCCCACAGCTTTCCACCTTTGTTTTTTGCCACGAAGGTGGAAAAAACGGGGATCCTCTCCGACGGGGTTCTCCAACGCACAGGAGAACATTTCGGTGCTCTTGGGCACAGACAAGATCAACTTTGATGAGTTCTTCAAGACCGC